AAGGGAGGACTCCGCCGGGGCGGGGCGGGGCGGGGCGGGCTCCCGGCCCGTCTCCTCGCGAGTCCCCGGAGGCTCGGCGGCTTTCCTAGAGAAAGCGTCCCCGGGCGTTTGGGCCGCCGGGCGCCGCAGCGCCTTGCGTCACATCCCGCCGAGCCGGGTAAAGTCGAACCGAGGTCGGGAAGGGGAAACGGTGTCGGTCTCGCAATGGTGGAAGTGCGAAACGCTGCCCGTCCCCTTGCCTGCGGGCACCCCTGCAAGCACAGGGCACCAGGCACCCGTGCCTGGTCGGGGCAGTCCTGTCTGCATGGGGCCCCCTCGCCCAGGGCACCCCACTTGCCCCCGGTGCTGCAGAGGGCACCAGCCCTGCCTGAGCCTGGATCTGCCGGCCTGGAGCCCCCCCAGCACCACGCGGCCGAGCCTGCCCGGGGCGTCCTGCTGCTGCCGGGGGCTCGTGGACGCTGCAGAGCCCAGGCCCAGGCCGTGCCCCCGCTGCGGAGGAAGGCAAAGCCCCGCAGTGCGTACCAGTCTGAGCAGTGGGGAAGTCCCTTCCTGCCCCAGCGCAGCGTGGGGCTGAGCCCGAGCACAGGGGCAAGGTGCTGCAGGGTTGGTGCTCCCTGGCACGGAGCAGAGAGAGGGGGCACCCCAGCGACACCCACTCGACCCATGGTGCCAGGCAGGCCTGGTGGGATGCCACAGGCCCGTTTCCACTCAGCAGCGGTCATGCTGCAGGGCCCCTGGCTCTGTCCGCGCACCCTGAGCCGAGCCGCGGGCAGGCAGGAGCAGCACGGGGCCGAGGGGGTTATAATCACAGGGGAGCTGCGGGCACTCTCTCCCAGGCCTGCGGCTTCCCACAATTGCTGCAGGGGAAGGAGGCTGATGCAGCGGAACAACCTCTGTAATCCTGGGCTCCTCCACCCCTGGCCCCACAGAGCAGGGGGAGCAGGTCCCGCACACCCCAGGGGATGCGGCCGTGCCAAGCCGTGCCTGCTGCACGACCCTGGGGTCAGGGCGGGTGTCAGCAGCACCCTGAGCTTCCTGCGCCGACGCCGGGGCAGAGGCAGCAGTCTCGTGTTATTTGATAATACTGTTTATTGTCCAAAGACCGAATGTCCACGTATGAATTATACAAAGCATCAGAGACATGCACAGTCTGCTTGTCATTATTCAACAACTTTCATGTGTTTCCAGCACAAGAAGGTCTCAGACTTCAGAGTCCAGCAAAAACATATTGCTCAACCCACCTGCACGCATG